GATGAAGACGAGAAAGCTGAGTGGTGTTAATTTAGACGGAGGGAGTCTCGTGGTAGTAGGAGTCTAGGAGACCCGATTTTCATTTTTGGCAGGTAGTGAGGCGCTCAGGTAATTCCTGATTTATTTAATTATTTAAATTTTACCTTTCTTTTCTTTTGTTCAGTTGTTTTACTATTCTTCGAATTTTCATGGGAATATTATTCCCCGGTGTTAACTCTTTCTGAGGAAGTTAGGTTCTTGTTCAATTCTTTTAATTAGCAACGGGATCCGAGAGAATCATGTGACCGGATTGATTGCCAGATCAACTTTGTGTCAAAGTAAAATATATATGAGAAATAAAGGAAGATTAAGGACGTGGGTTTGGGCCGTAGAAATGTGTCCCTTTGCTGTAAAAAGATCGTTTACAATTTGTTTTATGCGAGAGAACCACAAGCCCAATTGGCTACGTTGGAGACTTTTTTTTTTTTTTTTGTCATAGAAATCTTGGTAGATTTACAAGGCAAGGATTGTGAAAGCAATTAGAGGCAAACTGACAACTTTTATTGAAATGATGAAGTAAACTATAAATACAAGTTCAGGCCCTTGAACTCGGCCACGACTAACAACTTCTAACGTCACTAATCCAGGAATCTAGCTAACTGACTCCTACCTTGACTCAAACAGGAGTTGCAGGCTCTTTAACAACCACTATGGACTCAAACAATAATCAACAGGAACATAGTGACTAAAACTAAATTGACCAACGGACTCTTGAACGACACCGCTCTAATATAAGCTTATATTTTAGATTCTTTCTCGCCGGCAACATCGTCTCCCCGTCATCCTTAACAAATCCTCCCCTGAACTGAAGCCAATTCCCAAGCTTCAGTTCACACTTCATCCAACGTCATCATTTCCCAGCAACAGTCTCGACACACTTCTATCACTAACTTCATGTTTGTGCACAACTGCATGATAATCTATCTCAGAAGCCTTCAGTTCCCATATCTCCTGCTTCAGAACTTCTTTTATTACCTCTGCTACTTCATCCATAACTTCTGAGGCTTCCAGCTTCAATGCCTTTGTCACTAAGTTACTTATTTTATCATAATTGCCAATCACACCACCATTTACAAGATTCCTCAGAAAATTGGAATTGAACAGCTTAACCATTGAGTAGCTATCACACACTATCTTAGTTCCTTCCGTGAAGCTAACTTTCCAAACTGTTTTCTCCAATAACCTCTTGACACATATGCACTGTGATGCATAATAAGTAGCAGCTGCAAATTCTTGTTCAAGGACGAACAAGATAGCCAACAATTCCTTATTGTAGGCTCCATATACAACTCCCCTGGTTTCTTGGAATGCAAAAGCATACAAGCTTTTTCTACTATCCATATCACCTGCTACAAAACCAGCTTTATAACTGAAAAACCTGGCTACAAAACTAACTCCAAAATAGATCAAATCACCCGCCATTACGTTCTTGACCAAGCCAGCTGCAATTAGCCATTTTTGAATTCTAGAGAATTGCAACAATCCAGCTAAAACGTCTGCTGCTAAGGGGATTAATTGAGCTGCAAAAACAACTACAAAGTGAGCTAACCTTGCTGCAGAACCGATTACAAGAAGTGGAACAAGCTCCTTTTTCTTCACTGCATGATTCGTTTTGTGATCATTGTCCTCCCCAGTTTCATGTATGTCCAGATAAGTAGATTTCCTATACATTCCTGGACTCCATTTCTCAGTAACTTCAAGCTGGTATTCCTCAACATCATCAGCTCTTGTGTCTAGATTGGAAATACTTGGGACAACCTTGTTTTCATCTACCACAAACTGCTTCAGCTGGTGACTAAAAACACCCTCCACAATTTTGCAGTCATAAGCAACAACATCAGCTGCTCGACCAATACACATTTTCCCTTCATTTCCTTGGAACACTTGTACCCCCAGAATGAATATCATTGAGGGTTTACCTTTCATAGCCTGTTTCTTACCCTTCCTAACCAATTTCTCACTCATAATCTGTTTCTCACCACTGTTATCATACATCACAGCATTCACATTCAAGCACATCAAATGTGACTCTAGCTCCTTAGAGAATAGGACATTTTCACAACAACAACTTGCTTTGTGAAATTGTAAAAGGTACCTTTCAAATTTCTTGAAACATGTCTTTAGAGCCTTAATCTCCTCCCCTGCAACCACAAGTAGTCCTAGTGGTTGCATTTCATGAGCCGCCTCTGTTAGCTTTTCATGACAGAGTGCCCTCCTGACAGTTAAATGAAAACTGAACCAGTTACAAAGAGGTGATAAAGCTAGCAGACTTCTGTTTAAGTCCCGATTCAATGACTTCTTGGTTATGGATACCAAGGATGAAGAGAAGGGAGGCCCCAACATGTCTGTCTCCTCTAACTTCTCAACATCTACTTTTTCCTGAACCAGCAATGCACTGTATGAAATTGCAGCAGCTGTCTCTGTTACTATAGGTGGCTCATCCTCCTCAAGCATAGCATCTAAATAACTAGTCTCCCCTTCACATACTACTTTAGCTCCAATGGCCTGTAGACATTGATATTCAGGCTTTGCCAAAGTATTCGCAGGATCAGCATGTAACACAAACATGTTGTTTGTCTTCATTCTGATGCTGAATAAGAGACCTTTTTCATCATGATAAACTTTGCAGACTCCATGGCGAATCAGAAAGATCAATCCCTTATCTTGCATCTTTCCAATACTCAACAAATTTGTTCTTAACCCAGGCACATAGAATGCATCATGAATAACTATATACCTGTGTTCAACTTTCATTCTAATGGTTCCTCTACCAGCCACCTGCAACTCAGATCCATTTCCTAATCTCACAGTGCAACAGAAAGAGTAATCAATACTAGAGAACCAATTCTTGTTACCAGTCATGTGATGGGTACAACCTGAGTCTAGAAACCAACAAGTTTCTATTTTATCCACTGATGGTATATCCTGAGGTGCTAACTGTGAAATTGGTACCTCGTTCTTCCCAATTGGTTCTGCACATGCCATTAGTAGAACATCCTCCTTCATATCCCCATGATATCTATCATGATTAGAGGATGAAGTAGAGTAATTTGCATAATGATTGATATACCACTCTGGACACTCAATTCTGAAGTGGCCAAATTTATGACAGTAGTAGCATTGAATATCTTCTCTTCTCCAACTTCTACTGCTTACTCTTCCTTTACTCTGGTAAGCTTCTTGTACTTGTCCCCTTCCTTTCCACCCATATTCATGAGTTGATTTCAAAGCTTGGTCCACTTTTGTTGAGTTCTTTGAAAACTTTTGCTCGTGAACAAGTAGGGAACTTTGCAAGGCATCTACTGACAATTCTGATATGTCTTTGGATTCCTCTATAGAACACACAACATAATTAAACTTTGCTGTCAAAGTTCTCAAAATCTTTTCCACAATCTTTTCATCCGTCATTGATTCACCATAATTTATCATAGAGTTGGCAATAACCATGACTCTTCCAAAATATTCTGCTACAGACTCACCTTCTTTCATTTCAAGAATCTCAAAGCTCCTTCTGAGAGCCTGCAGCCTTGCCTTCTGTACCCTGGCAGTACCTTGATATCTAATCTTCATAGAGTCCCATAACTGCTTGGCTGTAGTCTTTTTTTGGATCGTCTTCAAGATAGTCTTGTCAATGGAACTAAACATAAAGTTCTTAGCCTTCAGATCCCTTAACCTTGATTCTTCCAGATTCTTCCATTGAGTTGCAGTAAGCTCTTCTCCCTCACCAGGTTCTATAAAACCTGTTTCCACAACATCCCAATACTCTGTTGACCTTAACAGATTCTCCATTAGCAGACTCCAGTGGTCATAATCCCCATCAAACTTGGGAATGCCAACTTGAGCAAAACTGCTATCACTCATCTTGAGAATATACTCACCAACCACCAAAGCAACCTCACTAATCACTTGTACTTTCCAAAGCTAGATAAACACCTTTTCACACACCTCACTGTTTGTGTTTCTCACCTAAAACACTCGTGTTTCCCTGATCCCAACTCTGCAACCAGACTTGCAGACGTTCACTCAAGATTCATGAAAAACTTTGGTTACAGTATGCGATTGCTCTGATACCACTATGTGAAAGCAATTAGAGGCAAACTGACAACTTTTATTGAAATGATGAAGTAAACTATAAATACAAGTTCAGGCCCTTGAACTCGGCCACGACTAACAACTTCTAACGTCACTAATCCAGGAATCTAGCTAACTGACTCCTACCTTGACTCAAACAGGAGTTGCAGGCTCTTTAACAACCACTATGGACTCAAACAATAATCAACAGGAACATAGTGACTAAAACTAAATTGACCAACGGACTCTTGAACGACACCGCTCTAATATAAGCTTATATTTTAGATTCTTTCTCGCCGGCAACATCGTCTCCCCGTCATCCTTAACAAGGATAAGGGTAGCCACAACAAACGGCATACTCACCTATCATAAGACATATAGAACAAATAAGAGAAATCGACTAACAGAGAAGGTAATCCAGAAAAGCGTAGGGCATGTTGCGCCACTAAATGGGCAGCCCGATTCGCATCTCGAGGAGTAAAATGTAACACAACTTTTGGTAATTGGACTAGCAATGCATGAACCTCCGAATAGATTGCGCCAGCACGTGCATCTGATAAATTGCCCGAAACCAACTTGTCAATGACCACTTGGGCATCGCCCATAAGTAACACATCCCGATTTAGTGGCGACATTGGAGACTTGGAGTTGGCTTTTTGTGAACGTCCGACTTCTCTTACTTGGAGCCCAAGTGCGAATAAAATATTATGACTTTAGAAATATGAGTACGAAAAAGTAAAACAGCTGATTGATTCCCGCCAAAACGTGGCGGGAAGCGGGTTGGCCAAAATACGACCCACACGCGGGAGCCAAACAAAGCAAAACGACGCCGAGCCGAAACATAGGTTAATATATACTAATCCAGCCAAACGATTGGGACTTTGGGAGAGAAACTGCAAAACGCAAAGATCTCAGAGAGGAGAAGAAAGTAAAATGGAGAAAGAGACGGAAACAACGAAAGTCGAGCCGGCAGCGCCGGCGCCAGCCCCCAGAGTCGCCGTGGTATTGTTCCTGCTAAAGGGCAAGTCATCAGTTCTCTTGGGTCGCCGACGATCGTCTATCGGAGATTCCACCTTCGCTCTCCCCGGCGGCAACCTCGAATTCGGTGAGTCCCCAACTCCCTCACTCTCTTTTTCTCTCATTTCATTTGGAACAAAAGAAATCAATAATAATCGATCAGACGCTTTCCCTCTTGTGGAAAACCTCAGGGGAGGGTTTCGAGGAGTGCGCAATTAGAGAGCTGAAGGAGGAGACGGGGCTGGAAGTCCAGAGAACAGAGTTTCTGACGGTCACAAACAACGTGTTCGTCGAATCCCCCAAACCCTCTCACTACGTCACCGTTTTCCTCCGCGCCAGGCTGGATGATCCGAATCAGGTTCCGCGTAATATAGAGCCGGAAAAGTGTCACGGCTGGGATTGGTACGATTGGGGCGACCTCCCTTCGCCGCTCTTCTGGCCGCTCGAGAAGATGGTGAGAAGTGGGTTCAATCCTTTTGCTAATATTCCATCTTAGAGAAGCAAATATGAGGAACTCACTGACTGACTTCTGCTGCTGCTGCTGCTTTCATGTAATTTTTCCTCTGTTGTTTTCAGCTGTGTGGTTTGCTTTTGTACTAGATATGATTGTTAGAGAAGTAGCAGGATGAGTTTCAGCCTATGAAATTGAGAAAAGTTCAGTTCTTTTTGCTTGTTGTTGTTGAGAAGTCAGGCGAAAGTGAAACTCTGGAAATAGAAAAAGTCCTCATATAAGTAAATCCAGATTCCAGAGCCAAGTGGAGAATCTTAGGGTACCTTGAAATGATTAGTTGAGTACTCACCTGAAACTTACTAGTTAGTTGTCTGCAGAATTTCCCTTCAAACTTGTGCAACACGGTGATCCCAATCCCTTTAAGATCATTGTCTTTTCTGAGAGATCCTCAAACATATGCTGTATAATCTCTAGTGGGATTAATTGACAGTCTCATAATTGGTTTGAAGTTCGCCTAGTTCTCAAAATACCGATTACCATGTACTCGGTTAAAATTGATAATATTGAAGGATGCAGGATTGAAGAACGAGACACAGTGTATTAAAAAAAACCAGTAACTCGTAATTATTGAACATTAGCCAAGAAGAACTGAATCTTATATCCCAAACACCTTCCAAATCCTTTACTGATGGTTCAGAAACTCTTTGAAGTTGAGAGGAACTTCTGGTCAAAGCTTCAGCTGATGTTTTTTGGCTCATTAACTGAGATAAATTTTGGTGGATAACCCAACTGCTAATATGAATGTAATCTGGGTTCTGGAAATGGGGAATTGGAGTGATCGTGATTCTTGTATCTAATGCATTTGGCTTAATTGATTTGGTTAGGCTGATAGAAGTACGATTTTGGGCACTCTTCTCCACCTCATCATGGGTTAGTGATACGGCCCAACCTCTGGGCTCTAGGCCCGCTTGTCGCTTGAGGATATGGCCTTTCCTAATTCCTAGATCAAGACCATAGTGTTGAGGATGCCTCTTCAAAGGTTGAGGCTTGAGTGTCTTGCCTAAACACACCCTCATTTCAAATCATGAACGAATTGAAGGATCTAAAAAGAACTTTGACAGATACACAACTCCCCATCTATGAATGGGGAAATCTAATAGTTTCATACCGGCATCAATATTAAAAGATAACAAATAATTATGTTATAAAAAAAAAGATAACAAATAGTTATATTGATTTGAAATTTGAAATTTTTGTAAAATGTATAGTAAAATTACATCAATAGCTATATGGTAACGATAATGCAGTAATCTTTAACATTCTCTTGATGCATCTACTAATTAGAATTGACATAATGCATGAAACATAGAATAGAAGTGATCTTTCCGAATCGAAGACATGAATAATGGATTCCCGATATAACAAATTAAATTTTCGTAAAGGAAAAATAGTTGCTTCTCGGAGACATCTCTTATTAGTCGCAAGCATAATAACGAATCAAGGATTAAGTGTTGAGTGGGTGGTTGTTTAGCTACACCGCTTGGCTTCTTCTCCAGTAGTAGTTGGATAAAAACACGTACGTACTTTCACTCCAATAATCTTGGTGGCGCATTGATCCAAAACCGTCCCTTTTCTCTCAACTGTTTCTATAGGTTATGGAGAGGTCAAATCTATGTTAGTAAATTTAACTGCAGAGAAGGAACCACGTCAAAGTCGTAATAAAGATTTGGTTGCATGTGTGATTAGTTAAGGAAGGTGGGGGATCTGGTTAGTTGATCTGTGCCTTTGTTTGGCCGGTCTCGTCAGTTTTTGTTAATCATTATAATAGTTAATAGCCAACGTTGGGTTTGAGATTTAATTAATTGGGTTATTGGGATATGTATCACGGTTGAGTAAGCAAGCACGTAATGAACCTTAATAGTCAGCAGAATGTCAAAATCAAATTCATATCCGATCGGGTTTCGGATGTTCATAGTCATTCATTGGTAATAACTTATATTTATAACTTCAATTAACATGTTAACAGTTACATATATATTAAATTGCATAAGTAAAAAAAAAAAGATACAACAATAAATTACAAGATAAAATAGTTAAAAGCAATACAGTCATCATGAATATATCCTATATGTATAACAAATATAAAATGTCTTAAACAAAGAATGATTCTTAAAATATATATGCATATGAATATGATTGGGCGGCATCGGGTTGAATAATGAGAGTATACCCTTTAAACTGTTTCGTCGAAACTCTAAAACATGAACATTAACCAAACCATTGTAGTTTATAACTTAATAAGCAACAAAATGGTGGTTGAGGTATATATAATTTTATCACTTTTAACCTTATCCAATATCAAAATGGTTAAGAGACAGTCCGATCGTAGTCCTAATCCTTGTAATCGATCGTCCTAACAATACTGCATATTCAAATGTACAATTCAATGCTAGGTCCCAGGAGGGACAAAAATTCGTGTGGGGAAAAATTGTCCCTTTCTCCTCCAACCACCTAGGGATCTATAAATTCAACAACTATGACTGCATAATTGTGATTAGTGTCGGTATTAAATAGGATAAGCAGGGACGACGAGGCTTGAATTGATGGCATGTACACCATAATTAGTTTATAATAATTAGTTTATTGGCTCGAAGGTGATAGCTGTGATGATGACGATGATGATACTGGGATCGCCTTTGAGGCTTTGACAACGATACTGCGCTCTGCATTATATTGGCATTTTCTCTCCTTAATTAATTAATTCCCCCCTCTAAAATATTCGTGTATGTACTGGTGAAGCAACTTGTTGGTAGGAATGACAATGAATAGGTATCTCGATATCCATATATGTCTCGTGGTAAGTTGAGTTCAAATCAGGTAACTTATTATGAAATACAAGTCGGGACAAGTTGACCTGCATGAGTATGTAATTTAGAAAAAAAAATATGAGAAATAATTATTTTTTCATTAAAAACCCAAGAAAACAAAAGATTTATTGGAAAAACCGAGGTTCTCACTTATTCACAATTTCAACATAGCTCAAATATGAAATAATAAAACTAAAATTCTAAGTAATTTGAGTATATTTACATATGATTCAGGCAAAAACGGATGGAAAATGAGGCGGGTCAGGTCGAGGTTAGTACACATGCACGTCACGCTCCGGCTACAGAGCGTGTATTACTCGCCCAAAACAAATCAGGTAAAATGGGGTCAGGTCGAAATTGCCAACCTGGGTTCGATGGCCGAGTCTTAGGCCATGGTAGCCATTTGTCATGTCTTAATAATTTTAAGACCCTTCTTATTAAATTATTGTGGTCATTACCTAACTTAATTAAATCATAATGGGGACCTTGTATATGGACCCAAATCGCCAATAATAATGTTCGTGCTGGTTAATTAGACCCTTTGCAATTCTCATCCACATCTTTCATTGACACTCTATACTAACATTAGCGTATGTCATGAGTTGATTAGTGAGTAGTAGTACGTGTGTAAGGAATAATTTGGTGTATAATAAATGTACATGTTTCCTTGGAAGAATTCAGTGGAACTCTACTTTTTCTTCCTGCACTTAAAAACCCCATGACAGTCTTGTTTGTAAGACTTTTTCATCATTTTCACAAGTACCAAAACGAGAAGATGGTGCAAAGGCAAAAGAAAAAGACTGTTAGGGGATGAGATTACTAGGTTTTTAGGCGATACAGAACACGAAGGTGGCTTGGACCTTGGAGGCTAGAGTTAGGCCATTTACTTAAGGGATGGATGAGGTTTCAATTTAGGCATTTAGCTAGCTTGCTATGGTTTTGAGACAAATGGGCAGAGCAGAGGCAGAGTACTGTGAAAGTAGGCGGAGGGAGGGCCTGCCTGGCTTGCTTCTGGCCTTTGCTTAGGGTTTGGTGCGATGGGTTGCTGCTAGCAACAGTTTTGTTAGAGAGAGCACAGCGTCAAAGGACTTGCAATTGCAGAAACAGAAAGCTAGCACACAATAGCAGTTTTGGCTGTGCGGCCTCTGGCTCAGCTCAGCTGTCCTTCTGTCCGCTGTGGAACTATTAACTGTACGCCGCTTATTTGCTGGTCCTTTGGTCGGGTACGGTTTGGTGCGGTTTCTATCTTCGAATTTGATTATCTCGTTAGTATGAAGGCTTGAAAGCTGTATTTGGAGGTCTACTTACATCATTCCCAATTTCCCATTTTCAGACTATACCATGTAGAGATCATCTATGTCATTGAGTTAAAATAATTTCGAGCCTCAACATTTGAATGTCCATTACTATCTCATTGCATTTGTGTTTTTTCATAATCTTATTATAATGATTAAGGAGGATAGTACAATCTGTTGCCATGAATACACTATCGAGTCATAACTGCTGAAAATTTTGATAGATATGGTGGGAACATAAGTTTGGACCCAAACTATACACATATTCATACCCGGCTACCCGCCCCCAAATCATACGATTTTGTTAGTACTTGTAATACTTCTTTATGTCTTAACACCCATTTATCTTCTATTTCATGATAACCTTGATGTTAATTTTAACATCTTTCTTTTAAATGACATTGACTCACTTGTATAGTCTTATGAGCACCCATAGACCACACAACCATGTTCATTGATCATTGTGTAGATACACCTTTTCAAAATCCGACGAGGTTTTATTTGGTAATTTGGGCGTAGTCGGCATATTGATATAAATTTATGGCTCGATCCAACACATTACATCTCGAGTAATATGATATGATGTTAAGATGTAGACAACCACTCAACATGTATTGACAAATATGGTATATACGTCTATTTGTGTTTGGTATCAAATTGAGATTATGTATCATTAAAAACTACTCAATACATTTTATCGACATACATGAGTAAACAATAATTAGCTAATGACACAATTACTTGTTTGTGAATGGTTTACAAGAAAAATTTGGAGATCAACTTTGGTTTTTCCTCACACCCATTTATTCTTCTTTACAGCCAATACATTTGACTTTTAACTTAAGAAAAGATCACCCTTTTTTTTCCCAAAAAACCGGTTTAGTGACTAACACAGTACAGTACCCACTACTCCCTTGGAACGAAAAATAACAACAAAAGCAAAAAAGTTCTCTGTTTGCAATTGTCTCCATAGATTCCACTATTCTCTGACTTTCTCTTGACTTCCTCGCCACCAGTCCCCTGTTCTCCTCTTCCTTGTCTCCAATTTCCCCATTCCCCTATCTGCTCCTCCAGAAAATTTGCTTCTACTTTCCTGTGAATTAGGTGAGGCTGTTCACCTTCCTTTTGTCAGGGTTCTCTCTTCTCCTCCTGTCCCAATCTCAGGCCACCTCCCCTGTTTTTTGTTTCCTCTGCTTCACACCCGTAAAGCAGAGAGCGAGACAGTGAAAGCTCTAACTGTACCAATCTTTTTTTTTTTTTCATTACAGAAATATATCACATCACCACCACAATCCACGCCAATATAAGCTCCCAAATCCTCACCTAATAAGCACAAACGAAAGCTTGCCAAAACCTCTCTTTTTATATCCCTGCCTCACTCTGTTCCTCTCCAGCTTCAAAACCACACTTCTCCAAATTCAAACCAGACCCCATCCCACAAATTTGCCACCTTCTCCCCCCTAGTGTTATATTTTACCTACTTTCCCCTCAACCCATCATGAGTAATTCGATCATGACGGCGAAGACCCGCCACGACTCCTCTTTCTCCTTCTCCAGGCGCTACTTCAACTGGAAGAGGCATTCCGTCGAACACCTTGCAGACAACACCGACCACGAAGAAATCCTTGCTACCCACCACTCCTTATCTCACCACTACTCTTCCGACGACGACGTCCACCCTTCAATTCAAGACCCACAACAACAGCTGAAGAAAAAGCACAATCTTTCCAGCAAGCTACGGTCGGCGCTCACGGTTTTCAGCAGGGGAGGAGGAAGTAACAGTTGCGATCGGAGCTCGAGGCTGGGAACCAAAGTAGTCGGAACCCTTTTCGGCTACAGGCGGGGCCACGTCCACTTCGCTTTCCAGGAGGACCCGAAGCAGAGGCCGGCGTTCCTGATCGAGATGGCGACGCCGACGAGCGTGCTGGTGAGGGAGATGGCTTCTGGGCTTGTGAGGATTGCGCTGGAGTGCGAGAAGAAATCTTCCCCAACGTCGGCGGAGAAGAAGAATAAGAAGAAGCAAGGGATTAAGCTGCTGGAAGAAGGGGTGTGGAGGAGTTACTGCAATGGGAAGAAGTGCGGGTACGCGTTAAGAAGGGAGTGTGGGGAGGAGGAGTGGAAGGTGCTGCAGGCGGTGGCGCCGATCACGATGGGCGCCGGAGTTCTGCCGGCGGCGGCGGCGGAGGTGGTGGAAAAGGAAGAGGCTGGTGGAGGGGAAGGGGAGCTGATGTACATGAGGGCGAGGTTTGAGAGAGTGGTGGGTTCGAAGGATTCGGAAGCGTTCTACATGATGAATCCTGAGGATGGTTCCGGTGGCCCTGAGCTCAGTCTCTACTTGCTTAGGTCTTAGCTAATCATATATGTACAAGCCTTCTTTGTTTTTCAAAATTTCTCTCGTCTTTTCGCCGACGGAGAAGGGGGAAAGGGAAGATTGAAACCTGTTCTCCCCTTTCTGCTCTGCATATTTTGGTATCGGCGTTATTGTTAGTATTGGTAACGATTATTTGTCGTCGCTGTATCCTTGTAAGTTGTATGTGGTTTGACAATGGTGGATGGTTTGGTTTTGCTGTTCCGAAAAGTGGTTTAACAGCTGAAAGCCTGAAACTGAAAGATGAGGGTGGATGGAGGTTGGCCTTGTTGGGTAGAACCGTAGAAGTTTATGTAGAGTTTTATGTTTGTTTAGTTTCTTTTCTTTTTTCCTTTGGAGTATTCTATATATCTTGTATGGTGGAACTAATACTAAAGGTTCAATTGTCCATATGAGTAGTTTTGAATGCATATTGTAGCAAATAATTATTTGTTATAAGTGAAAGAGGGAGAATTGAGGGGGGAATATTAATGTTTGGTTTGGTTGGTCATTTTAATTACAGGTCAATTAAAAAAAATTAAATTATCATTTTTTTTATGAGAACTTATAGTGTGATCCCTATATATGTTTCAATATAAGGTCCCATATATATATTAGTTGCAATGTCAGTGATACAATACAAGTTATGTTTGAACTTTGGTCTAGCTTCAATTAGGACAACATGATGCGTAATGTGGCTTGACAATTGGCACGATAATAGATAGATGAACGTACCGTTTTAGCAGAATTCTCTCTCATTGTGAATTCTTGATGTGAGGAGTTTGTTATAGAAGATATAGTTTGTAAAACTAAATTGTAAATGGTGGAACATAGATCACGGAGTAAGAATACAAACCCAAAGCTTTCATAACGAAAGCCGATTGTTGTACCATTGGATCAACTCTTCATTGTTGACCATGATAATACGAGTAATTAGCCATCTACTCCTGATCATTATGTAAGAAGACGCCACACTATAGGTGAAGTCAGTAGTGATAAATCTAAAAATTTGAACAGAAAATTACTAATTCCCGAGCAGATATATATAAGATTTGAATGAAAGCAAAATTTGTATTAATCGTTTATTTCTTTTTCTAAGAATAAATTATTGAATTTTATTTTATGATAATTAGCTTTGATGAACTAGCCCTAACTATTTTGTTGGGCAACCTTCCTCTCTGCCAATAAATTTCTTGGTATCCTAATATTCACGTACCATTTATTCAGGTAAGGCTCAAGGAACCAGAGTGAAGCTGGGAGTTCAGATTCTGAGAGGCTAACTCCGGCGAGAGAACGGCGCCGGAGGGCGTCTCGTTCTAGAGTTAAACCGGCGGAACGTCGACGAAGGCAGAGGAAGGTTGTATCTTAGGTAACCAGTTCGCAGAGCGGGAGCGGGAGCGAGAGCGGGAACGGGAGCGTCAGAGCGTCTAATTTTCAAAAATTCAATGTTAAGAGCGTCGTGGGAGCGTCAATATTATATTATTTTTATTATGTATTTCATACCTTCGTCTAATAAGACATCATGTATGTAAATAAAAAATATGAAAAAAATGAAAAAAGGTTAGAAGCATTAGGTCAAATTGCTTAGTTGAAGCCCAACGCTAAGAAAAGAAAGGTGGGTTCAGGTCACTGTGTTCCATATATTTTCTTAATAATTAAGTTTGATTAAACAATTTAAAATCCAATTTACTATTCCATAGGTATATTTGTAAATTATGACACGTGCAAACCTTAATTGACACCTGTTTCCCCTGGCTTTCTTCCCCTGCTTCCCTGCAGGCTCCTTTCTCTCGGTGGCAAGACCACCTGTGTTTTCTTTGAGATTGTTCTTTCATTGAATTTTCTTACGGTTACGCATCTGCTCTAGTTGTATAATCTGCGAGCCATCAACTGAAATGGACCTCATCTTCCGCACATCGCCATTAAAGCTACAATCAGCGGTGAATTACGGCGCGCCGGACTGAAACGGAGAAATTATAATGGACGGCGACCTAGTAACTGGAGTTGACGATGACCGGAGCAAAGCAACACATCCAAGCTTATTGCCACGTCGTGAAGCAAACAAGAAGGCAACATAATTGAGAAGGATTCCAACTTGTAATACTAAATCGCGCTCCATCATTCATCAATTCACGCTCCAGCAATTTTGAGTTCGCGGATTTTGTGCGACTTCGCCGGAGTTCGCGGTTTCACGCTCTAAAGCGTGCGCGTGCAGGCTGAATGGACGAATTGGGTGACATAAGTTGTATCATGTATGAATTTGTGGAATAGTTGGGCTGCAATGCAACTCGTTCTCTCATCTCTGTAATATGTTGATTTGGGCCAAACTATTGTTTGGGCCTTTAGGAGAAACAACTGATAATTGGGCCGAGTTAGTTAAATCCAGTTTCTTCTATTTTCTCCCCAATGCCGGCAACGGGTTAGAATTAGATAACATGAATCCTTTCCCAACCAGGATTAGAACTAAGGTAAAATATCTAGAAACGCTTATTTAGCCTTATTAATTATTAAAATCTATGTAAACAAACGATCACCATTACAAACGACGACGTTGGTGGGAAGATTGGTATAATGGCGACCACCACCGCATGAGGAACTTCGATCACGAGTACCAACGGCGTTACGACAGCTGCAAGTTGTCTAAACCCCTTGACGATAATCCACACTTTGTATCTCTCAATGCTCCCATAAAAACATGGACCTTAATGTTGTATACCCATCTACACTCCAACCAACTTCATGCCACACAATCCTCTATTTCCCAAGTTTCATTATCTCCTCATGCCTTCAGCACAAATCTCATGGCATTTCTTCAACTCTCTTCTCTAAATGATTCATTAAAGATTTTCCTGGTTCCCTACAACTGAATCTTGACTCTACAACTATTGTTGCTATTATCAAAAACTGCAATGATACGAACCACAACCATGGTTCCCTTGCCGAACAGATTGGTAGGATCATGCAGCGTGATTGGGAGGTGAAAATCAACCATATTTATAGAGAAGGCAATTTTGCGGCCGACTACCTGGCCAACAAAGGTCACTCTTTTCATTTTGGCACACATTCCTTCCATGTGTGAGACCCGATGTTGGGTCATTGGATTAGCTACGATTGTATTCACATTGCCACAAAATGTTTAGTTATTAATACGATTTAGACGCCACTTGGTGCCTGTCTTTCTACCCAAAAAAAAAAGAAGATTTTCCTGGTGCTCTGTCTCTCTTCTCTTGACTGATCTTCGACAAACAGGATTCGGAACTAGCTTCTCCCAATGCCCTAACTCAGTATCACCAGAGTTGCCATTTGTGAACTTGAAGATCAAAAGTGTTGCAAGTCCTAAAATCTTAGTTGTGATATCATGTGAAACTCTTGGAAATAAGGTGGAGATTGTTTCAAGTCGATTTAACAATAAATATAAATCATCGTACAGAGTATATACAGACAAATAACCATGTCTATTTTTATTATAAAAATAAATTAATTATATATTTTTATGTATATATTTAAAAATTTATTTTTATATTTATTTTATAAGAATTCGATCTTCTGACTCCTAGTGGCGCCACTTGAGCGTTCCCGGCGGCACCCTTGGTATCGGAGGCGAAGCCTCCCCGATGTTGGTAGCAAAAAGCCCCGGTTAGTATGCAGGTACCCCAGTGGTTTAGTAGGCCCCGCTGTCGCTCAAGCGGCACGTGAGGCTGAGGTTCCCTGGGTTATCAAATAAAAAAAATCATTAATTCGACCAACTTAATGCTAAATATTATGTTGGGCAACCCTCCCTCCTAATCCTATGGACCAATATAATTATAGACAAAGCTAACAGAGTTTGATGATAATATTGCCAAGTAACCGCCTTATCTAAAAAAAAGACATAACTTCTTTTATGTGATCAGATCGATGTTAGCCATAGCCCCAGGAGGAACATATTTCAGCTGGGGAATGATTGTACCTCATCTTCAATGGTTGCCCAACATAGCATTGTTAATTGCTAAGTCTAAACATTAGTGGAGTCTTTGTATTGATTTAGTTTACATTAATGTAAGGGTGTTTTAGACGATTACACAAAATTTACACCCTTTTCCAGCCCGTAGATGGCTGATATATTTGGGTTATAGGTATAATATGCTCCTCTACTATAACGTTTTATCAAACACACCCCTCTACTATATTTTACATCAAATATGTCCCTGTACTTTGAAAAAATTATCAAACATGCCCTTCTGTTAAAATTTCCATTGAAAAATCGTCAATCGTGGTTGAACCAAAATTTAGATGACCCAACATCGGCAAATGGGTGAAAAAATGTCGGTTTTGTCCCCTTTTTTATTTCCCTGGGTCTTTTCAAAGTGAAATTATTTGAATGATTTGATTATACAAAAGAACCCAAAAAATTCTAAAGTGAATTTATTAGGGATATTTTAGTCATTTGTGTCGCCCAAACTAAAGTTCGGCCTTGGTTAACGGTTTTTGGATGAAAATTTTAACAAAAAGGCATGTTTGATCATTTTTACAAAGTACATGGGCATCTTTGATGTAAAAAATAATAGAGGGGCATGTTTGATAAAGCGTCATAGTAGAGGGGCATATTACACCTATAACCCAATATATTTTCATAATTGTTAGATGTACTTTAAACTATTTTGGTGATGAATCGGAATTGTCTGTTATTATTTTTTAATAATTTAATTTTATAATTTACGTTTATATGAATTAGAACCCGGGATTATCCATAGTAGAGGTTAGAATTAGGGATAACAATTTTGCTCAAACCCATGAGTATTTATTTATCCAACTCAATTGGGTTGGGTATAAAAATCAAATACATGGTGAATGGGTAGTGTTTGATGGCTCTACACCCATACCCATTTATTTGGGTTGGGTTGGATTTTTATTCTATGGATTTGTGTTTGTATACTTTTTAAGTTTTACAAATAGGTCCAATATTTGTATGTGTAGTTAAAACAACCTCAAGCAAATGAAGCATACATACCCAACCGAGCTCATTTAAAATATAAAAGCAATACCCATACTATATGCAAACCCACATATACTTCGCATACTCTATATATAATAAATGAGTTTATTTGGATTTAGACAAAATTACTCATGGTAAGGTAATTATCATTCTTAGTTAGAATATAGTATCTTACCACAAATTTTGATTACTTCATGATATAAACAAACAATGAATATATGATAAAATTAACGTACACCAGATATACACGACAGTCTCAACCTAAATGATAGACATTTTAAGTAACTGAACCATGTATATCAATATCATTAGGGAGTACTATACCCCCAATATAACGGACTATTGTGACACATGTCCAACATCAACCTTGTGACAAGTGATGTTCATAAATAAAAACCTTTATAAAAGTAGTAGGGTACCCTACGAGAGTGTGATAAAAACCGAAAGAGACTCCTGTAAAATCATGGAGAATGTCGACGTGCAAGTAACTAATTCTCAAACAGCATTAGCATATATCAATCGATCAATCCATTAGGAGATTTATATTTTCATCCTTCCTTGGAGGACAAGAAAAAGAGATGAATAATAATAATGGCTTTGTTAAATTTGTAAACCCCAAGAATTTAATTAGGCGACATACATGTAAGGAGGAAATGAAGGTGCTGCGGTTATTTCTCATTTAATGGGGGAGAGGGAATTCCAGGACAAGCAGTCCAAGTCGGGAAATAGAAAAACCAAACACGTTGAGTGACTTTCGACTTCTCCATCTGCCAGCCAGCCAACCCAGCTAGATCTAAGTTTCTTCCACTTCCCATCTCCATTCTCCATTTCCATAGCCAAATTACCATGGTTTGTGATATGTATACTCAAGATCAAATCCGCGAGTTTAATGTGTAATATCCGTATTGTTAACAAAACTGGTAACAAATCGTATTAAGTCATATATCAATTTGCTACTAATGAGTGAGTACTAATGTATTAAGTTATATAAGTTGACACAATGTACTTATTAGTTTAGTTTTCACGTCTTTTCGTTTTCTGGGTAAAATCCTTCCACGACGACTAATGAAGCTATATGCCTGAAGTTCCTGCCTTCGTAGGTTTGAGTGAGTACATATTTTCGTTTTCTGGATAAAATCCTTCCACGACGACTAATGAAGCTATATGCTTGAAGTTCCTGCCTTGGTAGGTTTGAGTGAGTATTCATAGGACATGAACAACTTTCAGGCTACCATATCAACTTGATAAAATAGTACATAGTGTAACATTTACAACCTACTAATCCATTACGAATCCCAACTACAGAGAAACAGAGCATTCATCATCACCAATCTCACATACAATGGAGAAAGCAGAACATCTTAGAGCTAGCTAGGTGCCATATGGCGAATCAAAACAACAGTCCTCCCTATCCTATATACTACACATCCAAATCTGTACAAACGACAAAACAATACCCTAGTAAAAACAACGGAAAAAAGAAACCCTGAATATCAAGAACCAGCGAGCATTTTCTATGGTTTCTTGATCTATAGCCAATCCAAGAATCAAGCAAACCTACCTACAGGCAAAAAATCCCCCCTATTACAATATAATCTCGATCCACCCACACGAATAAATAATCAGAACAGAGAGGAAAAACTGAATCCTTCCATGTCCTTCAATTCTCGATGGAGTTGTGCCTCTTGGAAGGGCCGGAAGGCGGGATCGGGACACCTTTCGGCAAGAAATTGAACGCCGCCGCCGCCGCCTGGCCCTCGTACTGAAACGCAGTCAGGTAATGCTTCCTTCCGTCTTCTGGGGATTTGGGGCCTTCCTTCATTATCAGAACGGCACCTGGTCTTGTGGCAGAGCAAGAAGCAACGAGCAAAAACAGAGTAATTGCTGCCACCACGAAAACAGGGGAAGAACAAGAACTGCTAGTGGCAGCCGCCATTTATGATATGGGTTTCGGAAAAAGGGAAGAGCTTTGGAGGTGTTGAGAGGGATGGAGGTGGAAATGAAATGAAGAAGAGGGGAGGAGGGTTTAGGGTTTATATATTTGAGGGATGCAGAAAAGCTGGCGGGGAAACAGGGGAGGAATTTGGGCGAGGAAGAAGAAGAAGTTGGAGTAGTGAAGGACACGGTAACGACTTGTTGTAGCACAGCTTTTTAACGGGTTTTCGCAGTTTAAGCTGTCGTTGAGAAATGAAAGCGAAATAAAAATATAAAATAAACAACACATTCTTTGGTTGATTGTTTCTTGTTTTGGTGAGTGTAAAATAAGAAAATGTCAACGGGGGGTTTGGGAAAAAACAGCTTCCTTTTGCCTTAATTTCCTCCTTGCTTGCTTGTTCTCTGCCTGCAAATGACTTTTTTCCAAACTCACAATATGACTTATGAGAAAGTCAGATTCCGGATGACTCAAACCTTTGTATCCTTTATACACGTGTCCTACGATTACTATAGGAGATTGCTAAATGTCGCCCTAATCGCCCTAATTTAAAATTTAAAATTACAGTTTTGTCCTGTTTATTTAATTAAAATATTTTATTCCAACAAACTCTTAGACATCCACTGATCCCACCGCCATCACCACTGCCCCGCCATGTCTTATACTTTCCTGGAGTTTTATCTTCATTTAACAAAACTAACTTTTTCAAGTGTGTTAAACAAGAAGAAAGAAGACAAAACAACTTAATTGTGATTTCATATAGAATGAAAACGAAACGAACGCTGACGGGAGTGTAGGGACAATCGTAGACTCGCAGACACATGCACTGCAGGATAAGGAAGTAGGCGGTGGCGGCCGGCGGGAAGAAGGAACGACGTATGGATGTGTAGGGCCGTCGGCATGGGAAAAGTACAAAGGACGGCGGCGGAGAACCGGGGGTGGACGGTATTTGGAGAGGAGGTCGGCAGTGTTCAGCCGATAAGGGATTGTAGGGCGGTTTTTGTTTTGTTTTTGGTTTGATTAATGAAGGATAATTTTGTAATTGTGTATTTTATTTTAGGACGATAATAGTAAATCTAGGGCGATATTTAGCCATTCAGTTACGATATCGGTGTGGTACTAATGTCATCGACGGTAAAATAATTATCGTTGAATCTGAGCATATAGTTACGGTATGTGTTTGCGATTTGTGGATAGATCACATTGAGTACTGTTGGATGGGAAGAAAAGAAGATAATGGGGAATGGGAGTGGCGGCTCTCTCTGGTGTATTCATGAATGAATCATGAGATGTTGTTACATGAAAATGGCTTTTCCGACACAAATGGAAAATGTGAGGCTATCTTTTGATGTGTCTAGGTTTCTCTTTACATGGATCATGTTGGAGACGTGGAAGCAAACGTTTTAAAGATGATCTTGATTGGTGGTGTTGGGGATTTTTTTTATTAGGTTATAGTATCATATGACTCATGAAGGAATCAAGAATAATGTAACTAAATCAATTCATCGTGATTTACATTTTGTTCTTTCATAATTGGCGACTAAATTTACAAATTCTGAATTCGAGATTGTTCGTCTCTCCACCTCTCAGATCGACTAATTCCGTTCTTCGTGGCAAATACCTCCATAGACACATGCAATGTCTTGTCGAAACACATAATTTGTTGTTGCATGTACACCTTCCCTATGTACGCATGGTATGCTCTTATCCGTCTTTCAACTCGATATAAGGAACCTGGAAGCGCTATATCCTTACTGTCATAAACCAGCTGGTCCCGATAACTCGAGTTGTTGGGAGAGGTCCGTGTATGGTCTGCATACTACTTAACCACTTCCTTACACACGCCTCCTCAAACGAAAGTCAACTTATGATCTTAAGGACCAACCAGCTCTGATACCAAGTCACAAACCAGCTGGTCCCAATAACTCGAGTTGTTGGGAGATGTCCATGTATGGTACTTAACAACTTCTTTACACTCAACCCTACCTCCCTCAACGAACAATCGAATGTTACTTTGCCTTAATTAGTCTCGGCATCACATATCTAATCAAGAACACACAACACTCGATGAGATATTTGCTAAACCGTGCCTCTCTTAAGAAGTTCAAGATTAACTCAAAGCATGCATGTCTACAACTATCTAATGTCAATTCTTACTCTTTTTCACATACAAAAACTTGTGCCTATTTTATTCAATCCATTTCAACTAAAGTAGATTTATGAATTGGTAAATTCATGTTTCGACTTTTCCGGTTTCCAAAAAAGTCAGCCATGCAATGCAAGACCATTTCCCTTCTTTCGTGGGTCAAATTCCTAGCGGGGGAATGTCAATATATAGGATTCATCAACTACTAAATTCCAGCGGTCAAATAAATCTTAGCTCAAGTGCTGCATGCTGAGAACCGGCGCCGTTGTACCAGGAGGGGGAAAAAAACATTCGTTCTTTCCTTTGATATTTTATATTGAATTGGTCTCACATTCAAATAAAGTCGGATGATATTTGAAGTTAATTACTGTGTAAACGGAAGTAGGCGGCCGACAGGGTAGCTAGCTATTTCAATTTTCCACAAAGGGAGAACCACTTACGGTCAATTCGGCTACGTTCCTTATATGAAGTAAAGTTGTAACGTCGTAAGATAATTTACGAATTGTTGGATGGTGCATTTCACATTCCACATTCCATAACAATTGGATGCACTGGAATATCAATTTTATAAATAATTGTTATCACATGCATCGAAAAGCAGCGGATCGTCGAAGAGGCATTAACATGTTAGGACAACCTAGTAGACATTAGGATGGTAGTATTATTCTAGTTCAACAAATGTAGGAATCACTGAATGTTTTATATATAATTAAATGTTATATAACACAGGTTTATTAAATAAGTTATATGCACATAATTATTGCATACTTATTATTAAATTAATATTTATGAGCATTTGCAACTGTTCGGTTTTGGGGCACACAGGGTAGGAGTATAGTGTAAGGATTGAATAGTTTTGGGATCATTGTGTAATATTGGTTTTTTTATGCACGGCCTTGTTACAGGGATTTCCTAGGTTTTGTGTGTGTATATATACAAAAAATTCCTCTGTATATCACGAACCGGCCTTAATTTTGCTATATCATCAATGCCTTTGTCAAGATCATGTAACGTCGATTCAGCAGACCAACTTCGGGCGAGGACCATCTGGAGTGTTGATCCTTGTCACCGTCTTCATCGGGGTATTCGTTGTCGATGCAGTAGGGTGGTTTCTAAAACTCTGTTATGCTTCAGCCACCATAAGGCTCAGAAAACTACAACAAATGATGTGCAAACGAGCGATGTTGTCGTCGTCGGCTCGCCACTGAGGTTGGTACGAAGCTGCCTTTGTTTGAAGGGATGAGCTTCAGCTATCTGGCTGAGCACCAGGGTTCCAGAGCGACCTATGACTGCTCTATTTGCTCAGAGGAGTTCACAGAAGCGAAGATTGTATGCGGTTTATTGTAATAACTTGTGTCCCTTAACAATTATCGATTAGTTTAAAATATCTTGTGTGTGACCGACACCCATTCATGTGAGAGCCATGTCTGTTGAGTCATAAACTTCTCCTCCCCATTCTACATAGTTTACATAGTCCGATAAAGTTGTGAATATCCTCGATGGCCAAGCTCTTACAATCATATTGTTGGTTCCAATTTGCAGAAAGCAATGCCTATTTTTAGCATAAAATAAAATAGAAACAGAATCCGTTAATTTAGCTTTGAAAAAGTTGTAGCGGATATCATAAATAAAGCTGAATTGTTATATAATCTACTGTAACTACGGTTTTTTTTTTCATACGAACCTCCAAGTTTAGAACTTATTTGAAGAAGCAAATCCAAAAATACATCTGACATCATGATTACAAATGCGTAATATCGAGTTTGTTGAACTTCACGATGTTATATCAAATGACTTGGTTTTTTTTTATTTGAATAGTGTGATGGACATCCTTTATTATTTATCCAAATATCAAACGACTTTATATAAGATACATCACTATGCACTCTCGACTGAGAGGACCTGATATGGGAAAATATTAGATTTGCAACATATAACTCGTGCATTTGATATATGAGATAAACATGTTACTTCCATCTCGGCCGCTTAATTATGTTCAAAACCAAAGGCTACCATGCTTTTAAATAACATGTAAATAATATGGGTCACATATATTATACCTTGTGATCGAATTTTTGACTTCGATCAAAACTCAACTCTTCATAAAAATCAATACAACTGTACCAATTTTCATATTTTGTCTGGTTTCAAACAAAAGGAACCAACAAAGTTATCCGTATTTTCTCAAACTCCAACGTACATATCAGAATCTAGTCGACAAGCTATTCACAAACCACCGATTTTGCATATTTGAGAAGGACAATATTTTTAATTACATTCAGTCATCATTTTATCAGATTTCTTGATATGACTTTTTGGGATCTCTTAAGGACGAAAAAGTTTTTTGCACTTCTTTTTTGAATTTTGGGAAACTTGGAAAAAATATGTTTGGACTTTGGAGAGAATATGTGCATATGGTAATGAAATACAAAGGTTTTCGAGGATCATAAGAGCATATTAAATCCCTTTGCCTATACGACGGAGGAAAGGGTAAAGTGAGAATCCAGAAACAATATGGAAAATGGAAATACAGTAGAAGAAGGGCCAATTTTCTGGCACTTCGCATTAGCTACACCAATCGATTTTTTTCCTCTTCTCCCCTCCGTCGCTCCTTCTTCATCAATCCCACAATCCCTAACTCCAATATAAGCTCTCCGTCGCCGTCTTTCGACTCCGGCGGCTTCGCCCTGGCTGCCGGTACATAGCCCCTGGCTCGGAACTGCTGTACCTTCTCGCCATGAAAATCGTCAGGCGAGATTACACACACAACGGCCCGGGTAGCGTCAAGGTATAATTATTAGGGAGCCGTTTTCAGCATCTTCCGGCTCAATCTGCTCGTTCGTTTCAATTTTTGCTCTATTGTTACCTGAGATGTTCTCGTGGGAACGGAATTGGTTGCGGTGGTGTGTAGATGACGCCTGTGGATTCAGATGATCTCTGGTTTGCTTACAATCTAATACTTCCGGGAGATTCTGTTATGGCCGTTACTGTCAGGTAGTTTCCTTCGCCCCCTCCTTTTCCTGATTTTTAAGGAAGGAAGATAAAGGTTCGGCAATGGAAGTTTGAAACTTATTTGGGGTTGGCTTTCTCTAGGAAGGTATTGAGGGAGATGGCATCCGGTAGTAGAGATGCTGAGCGTGTGAAGCTCAAGTTGGAAGTCAGAGTTGAGGTATCATAACGAGTTTCCCTGGTCTTTAATGGTGGGTCTGATGTATGTGTCCCTATATGACAAGAGTTTCCTTTCTAACCCGGTTTCTTGTTTTGGTATCAAGGGCATTGAGTATGATAAAGAAGGGGGCGTCTTACGAATCCGGGGAAAGAATATCCTAGAGAATGAACATGTGAAGGTATGTGCAGGTAGCTTCATTGGTGTCCTTTAAAGGCCTCAGTGGTGTGATTTTAGTCTGACGAGGTACTGATAATGGTTTCCTGCAGATTGGTCAATTCCACACTCTGGAACTTGAGCTGCATCGGCCCTTTGTTTTGCGAAAAGTATGGCTTTGATTCTTCTCTATGTCCAAATGATATTCCTTTTTTCAATGTATGATTAGAGAAAAGCAATTGTGGAAGAATGTTTGAAGTCTCTTGACTCTTCTGGAATTTTTCTGATATTGTCTATCCTGGTCTTTGGAGTTCCTGGTTGCGATTTGTGGTTTCCCTTTCACTGCTGTATACAGTTACCAGCATCGTAGTTAAAAACTCAAAATAAAAATCGAAACTTTGTTAAAAGTGGTCAAGATGTGCTCATATTGTCCCTGCTCGTACAAATTAAGTATCAATGGGAATGCTGTTGATGTGTTTTATTGTAGTGAGATCGGGTTTCTCATTTGGTTTCAACCTCCTGCCTGATTGCATCATATGGTACTGACTTACGGCTTTCAAATACTGTTTTCCAGCAAGTTTGGGATTCATTGGCACTGGAGGTACTCAAGCAAGCCTCAGGTACGTTGTATTAATCTTATTACATAGCTATAATTTTACTTGAAACATGGTAGTTACTTGTTAGGAAATCCTTTGTGGTAATTTTCCTTTTTGTCTAGTTCATCATTTGTGATACTGCAGTGTATCTACATTCGAACAGTATGTTGGTAGTTCACCCGCACTACAATTCCATGATTGCAAGAACCAAGATGAACTTAGGATGACTATGGACATAGTAACGTATTCTTTGTAGGTGATATACTCAATAGCTACTTGATAGTTGCTATGACTCTTTTTTCCCTGATTATAATAATACTAGTATTAGATAACCATGGTAGAAATGTTCAATGGCTTCCAAATCTGTATCACTTGGGTGCATAGTCTGTATATACGTACTGACTATTCTTTTTTTAAATTTCTTTTGGCATCCTTGTTTGATATAATAACTTGTAATTGCTATCTCTATGACTTGTTCTTTCTTTATTCCATGGAAAATCAACCTTTATAGTTTTCTATCCTGGCTTCCTACTTTTAATGATTGGATAAGAATCTTGGCGGAGTTCTGTGTCTAGACTCCGGCCTTGATGTGATTTTGTCGTTTGTAATTTGGAAAAGTAACTCCCGTACATGAGCTGAGTAGAGTTTGCCTATCTTTTCTGTGATCTCCTAGATCCTACAGCAAGTGCTGATCTCGCTGTTCTTCTAATGCAAGAAGGATTAGCACAAATTTTCCTAGTTGGCAGAAGGTACAAATATGTATTCTGCTTGTTCGTTAACTATGAATTAGTAACCACTTTCTTATGTTCGTGAAACTTCACAATTAATCTTTTGCATGCCAACTTCACAGTAGCTTCTTTATTTTATTTTATTTCTTTGTGAACTGACTATTGGTTATGTGGGGCCTAATATACAGTGTCACAACTTCACGTGCACGGATAGAAACTTCAATTCCGCGAAAGCATGGACCTGCAATTGCCGGTTATGACTCGGTATGCTACTGCTTTGTATTGGGGAAAAGGAACTAGTTCAGTTTTTTTGTTTCAATTTTTCTAGTTGGCTTTTGAGTTATTAGAAACCCTAATATAACTATGATTTTCATTTCTCACAGGCACTAAATAAGTTTTTCCAGAATGTTTTACAGGTAAGTTCTTACAGCCTTGCAAATTGCAATGCATGGTCCTTTCTCACTCCAAGCAACATTAATAAATCAATAAGCGCTCCCATTCTGATTGCCAATTAAGTAATGCCATGATGGTAGAACTAATTTTGTATTGCAGGCTTTCCTGAAACATGTTGACTTCAATGTTGTTCGGTGTGCTGTGATTGGAAGTCCTGGTTTTACAAAGGTACACTTGCCTTCAAACTTGAATCAAAATTAAGAGTGTCCAGTTTCTTGTCACAATTAGATGCAGTCAATTTTTCGACATGTTTGAACTCTGGAATTTTGTTAATTTGCTTCAGGACCAATTTCATCGTTATCTGTTGCTAGAGGCAGAGAAAAAAGAGTTGAGACCCATTATTGAGAATAAATCCAAGATAATCCTTGTGCATACATCTTCTGGATACAAGTAGGTTCCTTTTTCTTACAGGTTGTTCTGAAGCAACACATGTACCCTGTGTTTCTAATACAGCCTGTCTGCTGTGTTGCTTCTGTTTCGGGTTCTTACTAGTCCTTAATCTAACCCCACCCCCGGGTACTCTTCACGCAGGCATAGTTTGCGAGAAGTACTTGATGCACCAAGTGTCATGAATATTATTAAAGATACTAAAGCAGCAGAAGAGGTAGTTTGCCAGCATGCCTTTTTCCGGTGGAACTCTGTATTTCTGCAGTTATTATTCCGTCAAATAGTGCTGTAATTATGCCATTTTTTGTTGTCCCCTACTTCCAGGTTCGGGTTCTGAAGGATTTCTATGACATGCTCTCAAACGTGAGGGTCCACTCTTGAGATTTAATAACCTTTTTTTGTTATATTTTGATGTCTGCCAAATGTTACCCGTGAAGGTCAAGCATGCCCTCCTTTTTTCTTTCTAATTTTATGGCCTTTCGATTTCAGGATCCCGATCGAGCATGCTATGGGCCAAAACATGTGGAGGTCGCTAATGAACGCCTAGCTGTGCAAACTCTTCTCCTAACGGATGATCTCTTCAGGTGACTGTCCGTCTGACTGAAGTAGTAGTATCAATTGTCAGGCATTTAGATCCCAATAAAATGAGAAAAGAAAAATTTCTTCGTGGAGGTCAACAAATACGTGGTTAAGTGTTGCTTCTTAGTCACATTTGGGTAATTATTTGCAGGAATGCGGACGTACCAACTAGACGGAAGTATGTAGATCTAGTCAAGTCAGTAAAGGGTTCTGGAGGCAAAGCTCATATATTTTCCACTATGCACTCCTCAGGAGAGCGTAAGTGTTCTAAAAGCATAGTCCTCATACATATTCTTTTTACAGTGACGAAATTGATTGCTTAGTCTGGCATTCTTCGAAATTCTTGAAACAGAATTGGCACAATTGACTGGCATTGCTGCAATCCTCCGGTTCCCCCTACCGGACCTTGACGACATAGAGATGTGACCAATAGCCTCATTGTACCGTTTGGTTTGATTATTTGCTGATTTGTTAGCTGTAACATCTGAATAAATTACTCCAGTTAACTCAGTTTTGTTCGATCCATGTTCAGTCTGTTCAACCATACATACTAACCTGTAAACAAGAGTGCTTAGCATCACTTGGTTGTGGGCATCTGTATTATAGTCTTACCTAATTTCTCTTCTTAACTAAACTAAATCAGTTCTTAATTTGCCGTATAGCTGTATATTTTCTTTCGATGCTGTTCATAGCCCGATCATTAAATCGAGAAACAGTAATATAGGCACAAGTCTTCACTGCACCAACCATATACTCCTCAGAAACAAAAGCAAACAAAACCATCTCAGAAGCAAAGCTACTACCGTTTTCCAGAACCACCATCTGCCATTCAATATATGGGTGCCCTTTCCCTCCCATCAGCACCTGGTCACTAGTATCAAGAAGCAGTTTTAACCCTATCCATGAGCTGCAAGGACCTGCTGGGATTCCTCCATCATCTTCCCACCACAGTGCCACCACCCACTGTTGCTACTTGCTACCGAACAACTCTGCCACGAGTCCCTTTTTCAGTTTCTTCTCAACCAAGCTCCCCTGTATGAATTCAGCATTTATAGATAAGGAGCTCAACCACGAATCCTTACTTCTCAACCAAGCTCCCCTAATCTTAGGTGTATGTAATATGAAAGTTGGGGGATCCAGAATTGCTGGCAACAAAAGTTCGCTCATCTCTTCTAGGGCCCATCTTGCTGGGCTGCAGCTATATAAGGATGCACCACCAAAACTTCTTTGCTAATTCTCAAATTCAGTATCAGGCTTGTTTCTCTCGCCTTCATAACCAGATGCCTTCCCACTTCTGCCAATCAAGAACGGCTCTACTGTAGAACCACTGTCGTGGTACATGTCCAGGCCGTGATAAGTTCTTCTGGTGGCAAAATATTCTGCGCCTGATGTAGCTACCTTCCCATTGCTGGTTATCATAGTAGTATTTTTGTCTCGCAATTGTAAAGCCTTCTCCATTGTGGTTGATAGAGCAACAACCCTTCCATTCTCTTCTTCCTCTTCCACGTTCTCTGCATTTTTCAGTAAGCAAATCACTCGTCAGTGTGAGGGGATTATATAAACAGGGATATCATGCTGATCCAACTGAAGCCACTGAAAAACTTACCTTTGGAACTGAAGTCCTCGACGTATCTACCTTGTATGAGTGAGAACCGGGCCTCTTCAGGATCTTCATGTCTTACATCTGGTAGAGGGGAATCAATCAGATCCCAGAATTTCGTAACATATGCTCCGGTCCATTCCATTCCCCTGGGGGTAATTGATGTTCAGGGAGGGAAGAGAACATCAGAATCTTGAATACATGCGTGAAACTCATACACAAAGATGCTAATGATGTGGGTTGTATCTTAAAGCAAGAGACTGTTACCAACCTGCTAAAACTTAGCATGGCTTCAAATGGAGTAATGACTGGAGCTAAGAACTCTTTACTGTCCAGAAGAGCAGTTTGAGGACAGGAGACATACACGAATACATCACACTGGGAGAATGCCAAAAACATCAATGTTTGAATGCGGAACGTGTAGTTTAGTCAAACCAAAGACAAAAATCCGGGCGACTTTCTCATCTTAAATAATTGAAGTCAAGTAATCACCTCAGGGAAGTTGGCAAGTTTTGCAGGATTGGGTCGACCCATTACGAAAGTGTAAGCCTTCTTTCCTGCAGCAGTTATTAAGTCCTTCATTTGACGAATCATGTTGAGGTAACCAGCTGCATTGAAATTAAAAGGAAAAATCTAATGATTAACTGTTCAAGAGCTTTTGATGAACATGAAGAAAAAACTGAAAAGCATTCATTGTATAAACAAAAATTATTGCATTACCAGCTCCAGGGAGTAGAAGTAGAATGCCAAGTCTATGAGACAGGAAGAGCCGAAGAGTATGGGAAAGAAAAAGGCCAAAAGCAATGAAAATTATAGAGTATAGGTGGCATACCTACTCCAAGAGTTCCAACCAGTATCCCAACAATGTTGGCATCTTTTGCCTTCTCCACTAGGTAATATCTATAGAACAACAATCAATCACACAAGAAGAAGATGCTACTAAGTAAAAAAGATGGAGGAAAACTGACGAAAAATGACATGGTACAAAAGTACATATGAAGATTTAGGTGATGAGAGGGAAGCAAACAAAACAAAAAAAAAATGAAGCACCTTCTCTTGAGTATCTTTCTTTGCGCAGATAAATCTGTCATCAAGCAACCTTGTTCCACATCATATCTGACTAAAAACCAGTATCAGCAGACTGGAGTCAGTATTCCTTGATGAGACATCATACAAATTCCAAGAAATTAGTGACCCTTTGGATAAATAACAGGTTAAACCAAGAATAAATTATAATAAAAGTGAAGCACCTTCAACTTGTTACCTATTTCACACCCATTGAATGTCAGTACTGCATTTGCAAATGCTGAATTATCAGAGCCAATCCAGAAGAGAGAGTAATCCTCCATCTTACGTCCTTTGGGCAGACTCCAGACCAGACCTCCAATGCTACCTATAAAACCAGGTGTGACACCCTCACAACTAGTATCACAATCACAGTCTGGTCTCAGGGTCTTCTCAGAATTTTCACATTGCTTTGGGGGATCGGTTACTCGAGATGCAACATCAGCAAAGAGATATTCACAAGTGGGGTTGGACACAGTTGATGATGATGATGATACTGCAACAACTACCTCCCGGATACGTGGGATAGCATGTGCATACTCTAGACCGTACAGTACCTACATCAGGAACATAAACAACACCCACAAATATTACGGAACAAATTACAGTTGCATATTAAGAAAACTGCAGCTTTTGAGTCTTGATTAATAAGGATACATAGCATTCACTCATTGGATATTGTTGAACTTGAAGCTAAATAGTTGTAAGAAAGGATTTGGGGGCATCCTGGCATTCTCCTCCAAAATACGAGCATCCAATAGGGGAACTGCATGGCAGGCCTCTCTTAATGGAACTCAAAGGAATCAGAAAGACTCCCGCCACAGGACTATCCTCGGGTTGTCATCTTACATGATTATGGAAGCTGGGTTTGGCTATTATGGATAAAAACATTTTCCCAAAGATCCTTTTCTATTGTTTAATTGTCTCAAAAGAGGCTTCGTCCCATCACCTTGACCATGCAAAAATCACAAGCATATTCTTACAATTAACTGAGCGAATCATCCACTTCCATAGGCTCAGTCATCAACTGGTGCACATTTAATTACTAAAGAAACAAATAGGTATCATATCTTTAAACGTACCAGAACCAGTTTTCCACTTGTTGATGCATAATTTGAAAAACTTTCAGCACACTTCGTAGCATCAACTGAAGCCTTTCCGAGAACAAAGAACGCTGGAAGGGTTGAGCTCCTGCCAATAAAGTACATAACTTGCTATCTCATTCACACTTTTTCAAAGCCATAGGTAGGTTATAATGGCGTATGGACAACATAGAAGTGATATGCAGTGGAAGGTAGAGACTAGGGAGACATAAACATTCAACACACTCTCAAACTTCTCGAAGCAGTACTGAAACATCTTTGCCTTTGATTGAACAATATACAGTGTGAATGAAAGTAGAGGTCCAGAATTTGAACCAGTAAATAGCTTACGGGCTGAGACACGTATGTCCATAATGAATGACGCATTCACCATCGCTATGCGACGCACCAACTTCATCCACACAGCAACTTCCATAAGTTGCATCTGCCATTACAAAGAGTCTAACCTCCTTAGCACCATCTCGTTGTGCTTCAGAGAATGATTCTTTCAGTAACTGAAGCTTGTCCCTCAAAGCACCCACCACTCTAATAGAATCCTTCAACAACTCGTCAGGGAACTGCAAATTCATTAAAAAAAAGTCCATCTTATTAACAACCAAGTCTTCCAAGATTGAAACTAATGATTATTCAGACATTAATCGAAGTGGGTATGTGATAGATACCAACTAATGAGAATCAATTTAAGAAGGGTTAGCAGAGGCGACGCCGGACATTACCTGCAAAGCAACCCTGGAGAAGTTGCGGCGGTGAATGAAATCCGCAGTATCTTCAATCTCATAGTTTAATTCAAAATCCATCGCAGCCTACTGCACTAACCCTCTATGCAAGAGCTTAGCTGCTTCGCTTCTGTTTTTTTTGTTTTCGTGTTGCCGGAGTTGGAGCTTTATGTGAATAAGGAAAAGGCTAGAAAACGATTCTTTCCCGCCGGCGGAGACAATAAATGACAGTTCGAGTCTACAACTCAGGGTCACCTAGCCAAATCAGTAAACGTCGCCGTTTTAGTCATTAGTAATAGTACCAAGTCTTTTGGGAGGATACCAAAAGTAGATTCTTGCGGGTTTAGAATTTAGAGTTTAGACTAAATCAGACAATATCGTACTAATTGAGCTATCGGATTTTAACAAGTGGATCCGACCACGGAAGGCGAAGGTGGTTTGGTCGAGCTCACCAGAGCTTCTCCTCTCGCTGGAGTTCGTCGCAGGCGTCGAATAATCCTCCCGCCGGCTTCTCCCCAATTTCCCCCCAACCCCAAATAGAAACAGTTCACATGGCTTAAGTTTCCCATGTCTCTGGGCTGCATATACATCACCATATTGGTGATGATGGTCAACGAGCTGCATGTTTGCTCTACTTGCTGCTGTTTCTCCATTAGTTAGATACTGGCCACCAGACAGAGGACCATACTCGAACAATTAATCTGATTGCTATATAAGAACAGAGTGGACCGGGATTCGTTTCCGTACTAAGACAACCCTAACCCTTACATTTCTTGTTACTCTGCAAAAAATGGAGTTAAAAAGGGCGTTTTTTCCCCCAGATATTCTAGGCTTTTGATACACAGGAGACTAGGCTTGCAAACTAGAAAACAAAAACAAAAAAAAACATTTCTCTTCAGTAGCAAGATCAAGTAGTGAAAAAGGTCCAAATCTTCTTTCCTACAGAAGCTTCACCAGGGTGCTCAGAGGACTCTTCATTGTCAAAGTCCTCTTCCTCTTCCTCATGGATTGTACTACCATTCTCTCCCTCCTCGTTCCTACTTTCTACCATGCCATTTACTTCTTCGCTCAACTCTACAATCTCCACAGACTTAGCCATATCAACTTGGTCGTCGCCAAGTGGTGCTTTTAACTGCAAAGCAAATATTTACAAGTTTCAAAACGGCAACTACTAGCTAAGGATCATTCATTCAAATCCAGTAAAGTCGAAGTGTTTCCAGAGACACCATGATTACTTACCCTGTTCTCTGAGGTCTCTGCACCTTTAAGTGTCGTAACCTGGACCAGGTTAGCAGGCTTGTAAGTCCCATCAGCAACTCTAAATCCTGGCTCTTCCATGGCAACAGCTGCACCATCAGCAGAAGCTTCCTTCTGGCGGTTTTTTGTTAAAGCAGGCAACGCTTGAACAGCTGAGTTTGCTGGAGCACTGATATTAATCAAAGTCCATGTTAGAAAATATGAAGAAGCTTCTTCCTTAATTATCAAATCATAAGCAATGACAGGGAAACAGTAGCAGGACATTCAAATATACATGAGATGTCTTGAAATTCAAGTCAGAATAGTATCTGAAACTCAGCAAATGTTGCTCATACCTCATAGTTGCTGGGCTGGGCCAGCAAACAAATGAGCAACGGTAATTGAAGACAGAGGATAGCAGTAGATATATTTCCTTCACCACAACTGAATGAACTAACTATATGAGAAATATGACAGCCTCAAACTAAGATGCAACTACAACTTTTTAAATCAAGAAAAAGTAAATAGAGGTGGTCACTGGTTAGCAACCCATAGATTCATGAACCTGCATCAAGGTGAACAGAATTGCTAGAACTTTCAGTCCAACTGGTTCATGAGTTAAATTGATGCCACTAGGCTGGTCTGAAGCACAAACTAGATTGATGAATACACTGGAGATTTCGAACAGAAAACAAACAGGAAGAGGGGACAGAGAGAGAGAGAGAGAGAGAGAGAGAGAGAGAATCAGATAGAGCATTTTATATACAAAATCCCAATTGCGCTCTGCCTCCAGTGAAAGCATTAACAAATTGCACGTTATGCAAGAATGGACACTTACTTCTTCTGTCGCCTGAGATTGTATCGTGTTTGCACCGGGGTAGATACAACCGAGGCTGCCGTTTGGCGCCTTTTCCTGCGCCCACCAGCAGTTACACTAACAGAACCACCTTCACTGTCAGAAACATCCTGCAGACTTTCTGAAGGTGCCCGCTGTCTCTTCCTAGCAAAATTGCTAGCCGCCTTCCCTGCTTGACTGGAAATACCTTGACTTTCCTCACTTAATCCAGGTTCATCACCCGGCTGCTCATTCAAGTTATGCTCAGGCTCTTCTTCTTGACTTTCCCCGAGAAACTTCTTTGCTTCCTGAACCACAGTCTTCACCGAGCGGGTTCTACCTATTCCTGACTTGCGTCTCCTCCCAGGTCTACGCACAACATTCTTCAACACCGACTGCTCAGAATCTTCTGGACCTTCTTGTAACTTGCTGTTAATGTAACTATGATCATCAGCAGATAAACCATGCCTATCTCCATCTCGATTAGTGTCATCAGTTTGGTGCTCCTGACTAGCCCCAAAGGATGATGCAGGTGGTTGCTCCCTGCCAGGAACTGAACCCCATCTAGCATCTTCTGCAACAAGTGCACCAGGTAGTCCCTCAGCTTGTTCTCTAATAATATTGACCCTGGCAGCAGATGAGGTCGACTCTTCTGCCAAGCTGGAAGGAGAGACCACTCTTTTGGTTGGTGATATACTGAGAATCTTCGAGGTGCACCTGCGAAGCCAGGAGATGCGCCCCTGAGGGCTTGATTGTCCCAAATCAGGTTTGGCCGAGGAGTTTTTGACATTTGAAACACCAGACACATTGATAAGACCTTGGTTTGCTACCATCTTATTACTTAGCGTTGGGAGGGTAACAGCTCCAATTTCAGGAGGCTGGAGATCAGAGAGAATAAACTCTCCAGTTATATCTCTGCAGCTATTGCAGTTCTTAAGTTTCTCAACAAACACAAGGAAGTTATTCTTTTCTCTCAAAACCTGTTCCCTCTGGTCCCTGAGCCTCTTGCTAAGGGACTCAAGTTCAGAAATGTCTTTCTGTATCCCAACCTGCTGTCTTTCAAGATCTTCCTTGTCTTTCACAACTTCTAGTTTTGCCTTCTCCAGTGCACACTTTTCAGATTGCCTTTCTTCCGATTCTCTCTGAACAGTTTCCTTCAGGAGTTCAATGTTATTAAGTTCTTTCTCCTTCTGCTCCTGAAATGCCCTATCCTTCTCCTGAAAGGCTCTCTCTATTTCCTCCTTCCTACTTATCAGGACAGCATCCAAACTGCTTCTCTGTGATTCCAAATCTTGTACAATACGGTCATTGTCCATTTGGTGTTTCTCACATAAAACTGAGTGCTCATGCCTTAGTCTAGACTCAAATGTTTCCTTTTCAAGCCTTAGATTCTCCAACTCTCTCTGAGCATGCTCCTTAAGTGCATCTTCTTCCTTCTTCAGCCTTTCTCCTTCAGCTTGACGGAATGTCTCCAAGGCTCCCTTTTCTTCAGCAATGTCCTTCAGCTCTTTTTCGACTTGGGTTCTTTTGCCTTCTAGCAACTCCAACTCCTTCTCAAACCTCTCTCTTTCGAGCTTCAACTCTTCCCCTTCCTTCATAAGGAACTCCTCCCGAAGCCTACACTTTTCTCTCTCGCTCTTCAGTTCCTCTCGCAAACGGAGGAATTCTAATCTTTCTTCATTCATTATCTTAACGCTTTCGCTCCTTTCACCAATTTCATGCTCCTGTTGAGCAATTTCAGTCTTTATCCTCCCGTATTCATCGTTGAGATTCTGAATGCTCTCTTTATCAGTAAGTAATTGTCGCTTCTCAAGCTCCAAGTTCTTCTGCCCAGCTTTCAAAATCTTCTCTCTTTCCTTCAACGTTTTCAACTTTGCATCAAGATTCTTCTCCTTCTCCTTCACCCTCTCAGTTTTCCTGTCTAAAGCATCTTCTCGTTTTGCCAACAGTTCTTCCCTGTGGAGAATGTCGGCTTCGAGTTTCTCCGCCTTTTCTTGCTTGCTTTTTAACTCTTCATCAAGACTTTTCCGTCTCTGCTCCAGTTCCAACTCAAGCTCCTGCATTTGAGCATCTAGGGTGGCTGTGTGTTCATCCACAATATCTGGAATCTCTACCTGTAGGAATAAGAAACACACAAATTTCCCAAGATCAGATCATTTGATAATTCTGGAATCTCTATCTCTATATCAATTTGGAAGCTTTCATAAAAATTAATCGACTTCGGATATAAAGTTAAGACATATACGATCAAAAGAAGCTGTTGTTCACCTTTTCCCTGGCACTAAGCTTTTCTTCCCACCTCTGCAGCTCCTTCTCTTTCATCTCCAGAGAACTTCTCTGAGATTCAGCACTCTAACAGGGAATACAAAAAGTTTAGACAAGGATCCAAAGAAAGGAAATATGGCAGTATCATGTATACCCGCATGATGAATATATTCCAAAACTACTCATCACATAGTTTCACATTAAAGAGCAACATAAGCATTAAAAAATTTCAGCATCAAGAACTAAAGATCGGACGAGGGAACCTAAGGGACACTATAGGGTATGATTGTATTTGTATGAAAGGTAGTAGGCAATGAGAAATAAAAAAACTGCAATGAATCAAAAAATAAAAAGCACCAACCTTCTCTTTTACAGCCAAATCTGCTAACTGATTGTCAATATCTACTTCCCTGTCCTTCAACTTTTCAAATGACAGATTGATCCTCTTTTCCATTTCTTCGAGGTCAATCTCTTTCTGCTTGGCGATCCCCTCGCTTTTACTTGCCTTTGCCTCTCGTTGGTTGATTTCCTGTCGGAGCTCGCCTAACTTCTCTTCCTTCCTCTGCAGTTGCCTCTCCCACTCGTTTAAATCTTCCCTTTGTTTGTATAAATTTGCATCATGTGCTTCTCGGCTATGATGAAACATGAGAAATGAAACTACATTATGACACAGAAAACCTACCTTCAAGATAAGTTCAAAAAACTATTGAATGGAGAAGTACTCTGTATTTAAGGAGAGGCGCTCTCTCTGAATCGAAAATTCACGGGTTTCAATTTCATGGAGCTTCACATCCAATTCTATACTCTTTTGGTTTACTTCTGAAAGCTTTGCTTCAAAATTTTGTATATTCTCCTTCACGGCCATAGACTTGCCCTCGATACCAGCAACTAAAGCTTCAGCATTAGCCAACTTTGTCTCAGAAGCATGCTTGACCTGTACGTGCTCATCCTTTAATTCACGTAAAGCCTTCTCGAGCTTCAAGAAAGAAAGAAAAATAAATAGAGGACCAGTAATCAGTTCCAGAAACAAACTAAAATTCAGCACTTAATATTTATAGACCAACAAAGAAACTAGTTCAAATATAGAAGTCTTTTGTTTAAAGCCAAAACCAAGTCAAGAAAAGAAATTGAATTTGGAATAGATATTTTCAAAAGGTTTCAAGCCAAAAAGACTAGAGAGCCATCTTGGAGCATGAAGACCCAACCAGGAATTTAGGAACTAGAACTAGAACTTGAATCACCAAAAAGAAGGCAAGGATAGACATGAAGGAAGTTTCATTTGACAGAGAATATAAAAGATACATGTAAAGCACATAGAAAAGTTACAGGAGGTTAAAACTTAAGAGAGGTGTAACTTACATCAGCCACGCATTGTCGCTCAACCTCCAAAGCATCTCTTAAACTTTGTTCTCGCCTTTCCATTTCTGTCAATGCAATCAAGTGCGCTGACTGGTCACGTTTGAGGATCTCTTGTGCCTCTTCCACTGCTTGCCTTAGTTCTTCAAGTTTTGCAGTCCACTCCTTCTTTTCAATAAGGAGAAGCCCCATGTTGTATTGGTAGTCGAAAAGCTGTGCCACAAAAGAATTTTTTTGTAAATGAAGTATAGAAACCTTCATGAAGTTTAGGTATCTGAAACTATTAAGAAATAACTCATTCCCAGAGAGCAAGCAATTTTAGCGACTTGTAAACATCGCGTTCCTCTTTCACCATATTTAACACCAAAAAAGCACTACAATAGCACATAGACATACCAAACCCTCATTTGTGTATCCTAGTCTCTTAAGCAGGTGCTTGCATCCGGATAATGCACAATGCTTTTTCCTCCAGATTCAAAATCCAACGATTTTTTCCCAAATTGGGCACGAAAAAAGTCGATAAGTACTGAAGATAAACCTCTTTAGACATGCAGTTTGCCCTAAGCGCCAAACTGAAACCGACCATCTCAATCAACGCCAAACCGAAGCAAAACGAAGAAGAAGCTCCAGCAGGTGGTAATTAGTTATATAACAGAAAAGGAAAGAGCAACAGACCTCCTTTTCAAGTCTTGAAGCTTTCTCCATAAGTGCCTCACGATCCTTTCTCTCCATTACAGCCTCGTCCAGCAAACCCACTTCCCTGAACCGCCTCCAAGCCTCCGAATCTTCATCCTCGGCTGCCATACCACTATCATTCAGCAACCCAGTTGGCGGAGGTGGAGGGTCCGACGGCAGAAGACTGGGACCATGAACGAAAGCCACAGCCTTTCCCTTTCCTACGCTCCTAGGGTTTGGCGTAGCCGCATTGGATGTCCCAGCGGCCTTATGGGCCGGAGTTAGCGTGATCTCCGGCGACGCCCGTCTCTGTTGCGGGAACATTCCGCAGTTGGGGAATCAAACCAACCAATCCCAAGGCGAACCCTTACAGAGATGATAGCGCCCAATTTTCAGGCTATACCCGTTTCGACGGAGAGGCGATTCCGAACATGCACGGGAACCCGAACCGCCTGAAGATGCTGAACGGATTTCGCCCCCGGCGAAACGAGAAGAGATGGAGGAGAGATCAGACGGAGGAAATGGGTAATTCGGGTTTCGAAGTTTCCTGGAGGCGACGTTGAGGGAGATGAAGAAGGGGAATGAAGGAGAGCGGGTAGAATAGAACAGAATCTTCTGTTGCGGAAGGCTCGGGGTCCTGTGATTGATTGAAATTTGGGAGAACGGGAATTTACGGCTATAGCCCTATACCCCTTCACTTCGTTCTTGAAGTCGTTACGAGTTCGACAGTTAGCGACAAAGGCGTACTTAAGCGAATTAGCTTAAGCCCCATTGACTTCGGTTCAACGATTTTGTCGGTTATGAATAATATGTATTCGAATTAGGGGTGGGCATACGGTTAGGTAAAGCCGAACCGAAAGTGAAACCGAAATGTTGTAATTCGGTTCGGAATGCAGAAGGCAAAACTCATTATTTCGGAACCCAGGGTCTGCACACCGAACCCGAATTCCGACCAACTGAATTAAATAAAAAAGGCTATAGACTAAACAAGCTCACCCTCTTTCCCAAAACACAGCCCCACGACGATAGAGGAGGAGTGGCAGGTCTACTCGAGACGGAACAAAACCAAGTTCAGCTAGAGCCTGAGTGAACTTGTTACACCAATTCCGGTAAGCCTGACGAATATCGTAGAGAGATTTCCGCAACCGGCATACCCGGTTATCGCCAGGTGTAGCAAAACCCAAGGGTACCTTCATATAAATCTCTTCCTCAAGATCACCGTGAAGAAAAGCATTATTCACGTCCAACTGATGAAGAGTCCAACCTCGACTAACAACCACGACAATGAGAACATGGACAGTCACAAGTTTAGAGACAGGGAAAACGTATCATGGAAATCCACCCCTTCAAGGCTAAGTGAACCCATTTGCAACTAGTCATGCTTTATAACATTCAACGGAGCCATCGGGGGCGATACTTGATCTTATAGACCCACTTTGAGTCAATGGCGTGCTTACCCGGCGATAAAAGTTCGAGAGTCAACGTGTCGTTAGCTTCAAGGGGCAAGATCTCATTGATCATAGCCTCGCACCAGCAAACATGTTAAACAACCAATGCTTAGGTTCAAGAAGTTGAGTAATAGCAGCTACGAAAGCAAGATTATTTGAAGACCACCGATAGTAGCTAATGTGGTTAGAGAGAGGGTAGGAGAATCTATGGGTCGAAGAGCCAGGAAGCTGGACATCATAAATGGCCAACTTATAGAGGGCGTCGCACTCGGTCACCTCGACGAACTGCTGGTGGCAAGGAATTCCCATGTGAAGTGGGAATATCACCACCCTCATCATGCGTAGGAGAAGAGTCAACGTGCTCCCATGCACAAGAGAAGTAGGGACATGGTCTTCATGCAAAGGAGAGGAATCAAGATCCCCAAGATCAAATGACTCACAAACGTCATAAGCAAGTGCGACTCGCTCCATAAGACCATCCACAACGGCTTTCACAAGCCTATTTCATTGTAAGGTGGCACCATTACATAGTTATTTCATGGATGTGGTCCATGGTTTCAACAAAGAAATCTTCCAGTTAGTGAAATAGGAAATGAAATGGATGGTGGGGTGAACTAGCGGGTCCCGTATCCACTTTTGCCAACAAAATTTTTCTTTTTACTTTTTTTTATGACGGTAACATTTAGTTAAGACTAAAGATTAAACCAAAATATTAATTGGGCCCACCATATGAAATAGAAAGTGAAATGTCATTGATGTAGAGAAAATGAAATTGGTATGGAGTGAAATTGTAAAAGTTGTTAAGCTGGCAGTAGGGGCCACATATGAAATAGAAATTATATTTCATGGATGTGGATGATCTAACAAACGGATCGATCTGGTCGAGCTCCCCCTCAAAAGGAGCAGTCGGAAGGGGGTTCGACTATGAAGCATCCACGGCAAGAGCGACGGAAGAATAAGTCATAAATGGGAACTCGTCTTCGTTAGAATGAACACACACAAGGTATAAACACGTCGGGATGTCAAGTCGTAGATCTTGTAGCCCTTTTGTGAATGGGATAACCAACAAAAACTCTGTGAGGGCCGCGTTCAGCAAACTTATCCAAGTCTAGTTGAGTGTTCTTGGCATAAACCAAGCAACCAAAGGTGCGAAGATGGCCATAAGTAAGAGGTTTGCCCAACAAGATCTCGAAGGGGTCTGATTAGCTACAACAGAAGTTGGGAGACGATTAATCAAATAAGTAGCAGTCAAGACACACTCCCCTCAGAAATGGACTAGCAACCCCGATTGAAACCGAAGAGCACGAGTCGTGTCTAGCAGATGACGGTGTTTCCGCTCAATGACATCATTATGCTGTGGCATATTAACGCAGGAGGTCTGTAAAACCATACCATTTTCAGCATAATATGCGAGAAGTGAATTGGTAAACTCCAGGCCATTATCTGCCTGTATCCGACGAACTGGCATTGAAACTGAGTAATGGCCATTTGACAAAACAACTGAATATACTGCTCCACATCAGACTTATACTTGAGTAGATAAACCCAAGTAGCCCTGCTATATTCATCAACCACAGTCAAGAAAAAATGGGATTCATCAAGTGCAGGAGTTTTCTAACCACCTCAAATATCCACACCTTAGTAACGACAATTTGTGTGGCTCCTTATAAGATTTGGTACGAAATTTAGGGTCGTTTGGATTATGGGTTTTCAATAAGAGTTTCACCCGAATTTTCGTTCTTTCGAATTTTACCATAATCACTCGTTTGGGAAGTAATATGGAAACAAGGGATTTTGTACCTGTCAGATTCTGAAAACCCACATCTGCATGGTTTCAAAATAACTTACCCTCAACTATTTTGAAATCTCTCACCCTCGGTTTTTTCTTCCAATTTTATCCACTAAAATTTTATTATAACCCAAACATTACCCCCTTCCTCCCGTCCACTTCTTTCATCTTCTCTCCCGAACAAGCACTTCTGTAAGAAACAATGAGAGCTAACAGAAACAACAATGCCAACACTCGTACCCTGTTTCTCCCCCTTCTCTTGCTAGGTGGAATTTTCAATTTTACCACATCAACGTTGGGCATTGACGAACTAATGAGCAATGTTGCTTCGGAGGAGTGATCAATAGATATATCCATCTACAATAGCAACGGGGCGTATTTGGACGATAATTTGGATTTGGAGGGCACAATTTTTATGGATTCAAGTGGAGAAGAAGAAGGAAAAGCAGATGAAGAAGATGTAGAAATAGGAGATCGTTGTTATGTAGGAGAAGGATATGTTTATAGCAGCAACGAGCCAACGACTGTTTAATTGCAGAAGATGAAGAAATATAGGTTATGGATTGTACTTATGTATGCCAATTATAAAGGGAAAAGTTATATTTTTTTCGTTTGTCATTAAAAATTAATTTTTGACCAATAAAAACGCTAAACTAAAACTAACACGGGAATTGGCAAAAAAATCATACTTAAAATATAGGGGTCATTTGGTTCAGGTATTTTATTATGAGGGATTTGGACCCAAAATTACTCATTTAAATAACTACGATTTTTCACATAAGAGATTTGGGCCAATTATGCGTTTGGGAGTGCATGAGGGTTTTTTATGAAGAATTTTAATTAGGCCCAAATATCTATTTTACCATCATCTTCTTTGTTAGCGTGTGCTTCCTCTTTTCTTCTTTTTCTACAAAACACAGCCGAAAAATCCTACGACCGGCGATGATGAACCAGATGACAACGAAGGTTGGACGACTCGAAAGCAGACGACGCAACAAACCAGACACGACGCCAGCGAGACAATTTGACAAACTAGACGTTGCAATGAACCAAACACGATGGCGGCAGGATAATTCGGCAAACTAGACACAACGACGGCGAGAAGACTCGATAAATCAGACGAAGAACCGACGACAGGACTCTCGACCAACACGATGAACCAGGGGAGGGAGAAGCTATAGTAGTGGAGATTTCATATCGAAGAAAAGAGATAAAGATTCGACTCTCTCGGGCTTCCCCAGGACATCGGAGGTCACCATCGCCGTAAGTGATCTGGGAGGAGCTGATTGCAGTTGGCGGGTCATTGGTGACCAGATTTTGAATCGAGGAAGTGATCGAGAGAGAGACCTTTTAATGAAGGGGGGAGAAGGAGATGGATGATTGGATTTGTCTGGTGGGGGTAATGGTTTGGAATTAAATAAAATAATAAGGTACAGAAGTGGAAGAAAAAATATGTTAATGAGTGATTTCAAAATAAGTGATGGTGATTAGCTATTATAAAAATTCTCAATTGCAAGTTCTCAAAATCCCTAATTTGAAAATTTTTTCGTTTTACCAAATGATGGGTTGTGCTGAAATCTCTCGTTGAAATGTCTAATCCAAACGACCCCATATCATTTTTAAATGAGAGATTTGAGCTCAAGTCACTCATAATCAAAACTTTCATCCACTGAATCCTTTAGAAGATTCGCCACATCTCAATGAAAGGGTTTGTATTATCCATCATCCTCCTTAAGAACAATCCTTATATAAGATGGAACTCTTGCACGATTTTGCAAAGTTATGCAAAGATTTTTCCTAAAAGGAATTTTGATTTGTCTGCTTTACCAATGATGATAATTGCAAGATTGAACTGATTAAGTTAAGAAGACTCACTCTCATTATAAGATCAAAAACCTTTGTGAATGATGAATGAATCCACCCTAGAGAATTTAAGTGAACAATTTGGGGATCTTCACTACATTCTAGGATGATTTTGGCGGCTCCTAATATAAATTTTGGGTGGCCAGACAACTATGCCCTCTGGGAATTGGGATAATAGCTTAGAGCCGTGAGTTTGATGGAGGGGGTTTATCACTCTTTGGCATAAGATAAGGTTGGATGACAAAGTGAGAGAGACGTGAAAACTACTCGCTTTCCTATTTACGAAGTGTTTGACATGACATGAAAAGGTATAAGTAAGGAAAAACTAATTTAATTAATGTGTCAAACTATCAATATGAGGAAGTTATTGCTAGCTTAACTCTCTCAACCAAATGAACCAAAACTTATGTTTGCTATTTTGGAGAATTATACAAAGCGAAGGACAAACCTTTTTTACTTTATTAGTTGACAAGTAGGCCAATTATCTAGGAGTGATAACCATTGCTACCACACTAGAAGAATCCATTAAAAGATAGCGATAGAGAGCTTAAATACTCATCAACTCAAATAAAACAAAATAAGGATTCTGGTAGGACA